GAGGCTCTGGAGTTCTTCTTTCTCTCCTGCTTCTTCCCTCTGTCTCTCTTTTTTTTATTATTCTTATTTTTTTCCCCCTTCTCCTCCCCGCCAATACACACTTTGTGTCTTTTTTTCTTTCGTCCTTTCACGAGCTCTTTAAAACACGCCGCAAAAAGCAAGCCAAGAAAATAAACGCTTGCCGGTGTCCCCTTTTCTTCTCTCTCTCCGCATCAGAAAAGAGAGTGAGAAGGAGTAGGGTGGGTGGGGAAAAAAAAAAAAAGAAAAAAAGCCCTCAGGTGAATTATTGATGAGAGAGAGAAGAGAGAGGTCATGAAGAAATAAAACCCTTTGACGTTGCCATGATTGCCTCCGCTGGCTCGCTCTCCCGTTCTGGCTGGAGACACCAGGATGCTCTGAGCGGCGAGTGGAGAAGTGGGAGCTTACCCTAAAGCTGCCGAGATCCTGGGTCTGGTATCACTGCTAGAGTGCTGCAGATTGGAGTGCTCTTCCCCCTCTCCCTCTCCCTCTCCCTCTCCCTCTCTTTCTTCCCAACAGTTATGGCATAACAAACGTGCCCAGCTCTCCTCTAGCTGGACAGATACGAGGCTCTGTGAACAGATAACCTCATCTTGGATTTGCCTCCTGCACAGACACACACACTTGTCTTCCCAGACAACTTTTTAAGCAGCTACAAAGCCAAGGGGAAACCAACAAACCATTGCAACTTGTCTCTAGTTTTCCAAAGCAGGGGGAAGAACTGCAGTCTCATTGAAAGGCAGCATCCAAACGTGGAGAAGTACGCAAGAGCGCAGACCTCTTCTTATGACTGTGCATGTATTTCCTGCTTGCATTTTGACATGACACCCCTACCCTGTGTGCATTGCCATTGATTCCCCATTGCGCAGCAAGGAGGGAAGCAGCCATCCTAAAAGCCAGTCATTTAGACACTTGAATCATTGAAAGGACTTTACTCAGTTCTCTTTTGAGGATTAATATTGCCTCGTGATGCTGCCAAATGATTGCTCTTGCTAATGTTTTGATTAGGCACCTCTCAAGCAATCTAGTGGTAGTTTCTCTTTTTGATATGTGCCAAAAGGGTTGGAAAAATGAGCGTATAGCATTGTTTAATACCCTCATACATTTCCAGATGGTTAAAAGCATGGCTGGTTTGGCTCTGCTTCTAGAGCAGAGCTTTTCTGCATCACCTGGTCCCATAATCCATTGAAATAGCCTCTTGCTGCAAACCTATCCCGCCTTCAGGGACTGGTAAAAGATACAGTGCTCCCAGAAGCAGAATAACCTAAATAGACTTTTTTCCATAACAGCAGCAAAGTGCCCAAAGAAATGGAGAGCATGATTTTTAGATAGATAAATCTCAATACAATGAATTTCTGTGCAATATAATGCCTTTGCAACAAATATGTCCCATGTCAACTATTAGCTATCAGCAGCTCTTCTTATCCAGAGCTATCTCTACCTGGGTCTCTCTCCTATCTTTTCAATACAGTCAGGAAAGATACTGCTACATTCTGGAGCTGTGAATGTAGGCATAGCTTGCTTACTGCCACTCTGTAGAGGAAGAAGCTTGGGAAATAGCTTACATAGTATCTTAACGTCATGTACTAACAAATACTGGCCATAAATTTTGAGACTAACAGACCAGAGAAATTAAAGAAGCAACAGGAGACTAGGAGGAGTAATAAAGAGCACTGAAGCTCACTGCCTGCTGAATGCAAAGGCTTCATGTGGGCAAATGTGAGCTGGGATTTGTTTTCAGCTGATGTGGAGAACAGAGAGCAGAGCATGACGTCCACAGAATTCAGCAAAGTCTTTGAGAAGCCATAACACAGCTAAAAAGTCCTCTCAGCTAGCCAGCAACAAATACAATACCCTATAAAATTCAAAAGCCAGACGCAGATTTGAAAGAATCTTATTGGTCAAACAAGTGGTAAAAAGAAATGCTAGTTTTCTAGGAATGCATCAATATCCTCTTATTATAGCAACACTGACGAAGATGAAAAGAAAAGTCAAGTCGAGAAGAACCACTTGCTGTAAGCAAAGGGAGGAAACAAGAAATGAAGACTTGAATCACAATATTGTTCCTTTCATAGAAACTGGATCTGCAGATTAAAAGATTCATGCCAATGCATAGAAATACCTGTCTGGAGGACTCTTGCAAAACAAACTGGTTACGAAAACAGGAAAATATTTTGTATCACAATAATTTGTATATAAATATAAATGTATAAATAATTCCACACTATTTCAACACTATTTCACTATTTCAACATCTCTCCCTTAAAAAGTTCTTTGTACTTCATCCTGCTGCATTGCCTTTGAACAGTGGACAAATATTAGTAAACATATTTATAGTGAATTTATATTGAAATTTGAAACTGCTGAAAAAGTTGATTGTTTCATCATTTGTCAGAGATGCAAAATTTTATAATAATTTCACACAAACCCTTTAAATCTTTTTTGTTGCGAACAACGACATCAGTTCTCTCTGTAGTGCAAAAAATTGGAAGAATAACAAAATAACCAGAACTCGGATGAAGAAAGTAAAAAAAGAAGAGTAACAGAAGCCACATCAAGAGCCAAGGTCAGTTTAAGCTCCTGTAACACTCCAAAAAGCTGCAGCTTTCTGAAATATGCACATTCTAGGAATGGGCGAAACAGTTGGGGCTATAAACTGAATCAGATTTTGAGAAGCTAACTTTCCTATCTCCTTGTCTGCAGTTACAAGGAGCCTGCTAAGCCTGGCCTTGCCACACAGTTAGCGGATTCCAGCTCTCTCACTCGACCATCTAAAGGCCTGTTTTGCACAGAGCAGCCAGACAGGTGCAGACAAACTCAAGGTGAGAAGCGTACATCTCAGTCCTGTGCATTTCTCCCAGAGCATATATTTTTGTGCGTGCAGGTTACTTTATGTATGCAACCAAGTTAGTAATTATGCAGCTAGCTAATTACAGTCGTTTGTGAACACAGCTACTTAATTTCGGAGCTCGGTCATTATAAAGTTAAATGCAAGTTAGGAACAAATTTGTACACACTTTTTGCATGCTTGAAACTGGGATGTACTAAGTTTCAGTAAAGTATTCCTTTTCCCCGACTGGTAAATAGTATTAAGATTTCAGATGACATTTATTAACAATATGATTTCAAGAGGTGAATAAGATTATTGCAACTTTGTTAACAATGAATGAGTTGTAGAATAGAGAGAAAGCAGCAGAATAAAAGGACAAAGAGAACTCTACCCATCAATCACCTTAACAGCCAGGTCCTATAAGCAAAGAGAAAACTGTGCATCTAATACATTTCCTCTGTTCCAGGAAAAGGAAAGCAAAGCAGACGCCACCAGCAAATGTGCATTTAGGGGTAGGAATGGCTGAAATAAAAATTAGGTTCTTCTTGGAACAAAGTTAGTATAAACTGCATCGAACTAGCATTTTTAGACAGTCAAAATCCAAAGCAATACATTCAACAATGTTGTAGATAAATTCTTCTTTAAACATTCATGTCTGGTACCAAATCCCAGTTCAGTTGGTATAGGTGGCAGTTAAAAGTTCTTGGGGCTTATGGGTCAAGCACTTAAATGGAAAACGGCCTGCTATCAATAATTTCCAGGTTTATAACTGGCCTGTTACAGCTGATCCGGCAAATAGTGCTCTGAAGAAAGCAGGGCCTGACCGTCGGCCACGGGCTGATCGGTGCAGAGCTGCGAACCAGGTTCCCACACTGCTCCCAGGGAGCTCTGCTCCATAAATAATTTACATAATCCAGCCTCAAATCCACACCCAAGTAAACAGGATGCAGAGCACCTACCAGCAAAATATCTGAACCATATCGCAAAATATCTCCTTTTTTTTCCAGCCCAGGCAATGGAAATAAAGCTTAAAAGTTATTAGAAATAGTGTTTGTTTAGCTGGTTTGTCTGTTTTTTAATTGCTGTATAAAATAAGGGAAGTTTGCTAGGGATGATACAGGAAGGACAAGTTGAAAAGTGAGGTTTGCATTTAATTCATAAGCAGTAACGTTAATGACTGTTCTTATTCTATCGGACAAATAATTTCTTAGTATTGATCCAGCTCCCTCTAACAAGAATTTTTTTTCCTTTAAAAGAAAAATGAGTAAAATAAATAGCAACAACGTTCAAGAACGGAAATTCAGTGAGACTAAGCTCGCGGTTTCTTTATCTTTCTGGATATATAATACAGAGACCTGAAGTCAGCGTCAGCTGGAAGTATTTTGCCCTTGCACAGGGAAAGAAGGCGTCCTAGACATTTCTCTGACAAAGGCAAGAGCCAAGGGAAGAATAAAGAGAGAACGCCACTCTTATATTTACATTTCCTTTTACATCTTGGCTTGTAAACTTGCATTAAATACAGTTACTCTATCAATATTGCATGATACCTTTCAAATTTCTCTGGAAAAAAACATGTTGCTTTATATAATTACTCATTTGCCTTACAAAAGGGAGAAATAATCTACCTCAGACTTCCTCTCTCGCTTTTGAGTTCCTTGTTTGTGTCTAGAGGCCTTAAGAATTTTACTAACCTCTCGGTAACAGGAGCCCCCGTCCCTTCCCTTCCCTTTTTTCTTTATCCTAATTATATTTCCCTTCTGTCAAGCTGAGCTTTCTGTTTGCTGAACGCGTACTGTGGTTTTGTACAGAGCTGGTGGAGTACCCATCAGCCTTCTCGCAGGATTGCAAACCTAGCTCGGGCGTAGCTCCTTTTGGCTCTTTGTTGAACTCCTCCTAATGAGGACGTACAAGGTGAACTGGGGTGGGAGAGGAGGGGGAGACAGGAGCAGAAAGACTAAAATAAAAGGCAGAACGTAGATGCTGACTCCAAAACATAGGGCTGTGTTTGTGGAGCTCAGCTCGTCTGGCCAGACTTTTTACCATCTTTTGACATTCGTTCAGGCTAAGTGTTGTACTTCCTGATCCGGCTGTCATCTCCATCAGTCTTCTGGCTCTGCTACAGACTAACTGGCCAGACCCTGCTATTACTTACAGCAGTCTGCTTCTGCAGTTAACTCTCTGATGGATAACTGGAAGTTCTCCAGACTTGTATTGCTATACTGAGTCCAATATACCTAGTCGGGATTTACATTTGTGCAAAACTTAAAGCAAAATTTGACCCAGCAGGTTCTTTTTACTCCTTCAAAGCTTCTAGGTAGGAGTAAATCGTTGGCAACATCAATAGACCAATGAATTTCATAATTAACCTTGCTTGGGGCCTCTGCTCAAATAGTTTTAATATTGCTTGAGTTAATTTTTATTCAGAATATTTTGTATAAATCTCTTACTAATTTACATGTTTAACTCAACTGTAAGAGCATGGCTTGGTGGACTAAGACTGTAAAATCCACTTACGTATATTGATTGCCTTTAAAAAGGTATTTAGTCTTATTATGAAGTAAAATATAGTTCTTGTTTCAATACTGCAGTTAAGCTCACCTCTAGGAAAAAAAAAACTATCTTTTTCATGTTTACATCTAATTTACCTGATATGTTTTTGCAATTTTATGAAATAAATGATTTTGTGAAGCGCTGCCCTGTATAATCTCTGCAATGGTTTTAACAGACTTTCGCTTGGCAAGAAGTGAGGCTTTTACTCAAATGGAATAAAATCCCATGGTAAGGTCAGAAAGCCACAAAAATAACCTAGCAGGAAAATCTTTCCTCAACAAGAGGAAAACGGAAGGGACTTGGCTTTTCACTTGCTCTGGGCTTAACAGCTGGTTTCACTAAGCAACATATTTACAATACACTCAGAATGGAGTTTGCAAGGTCTTCAGAAACCTGTTGACAGCCAATTTAGCTTAAACTGTTGACAATACTTTGTGGATACTGTTCACTAATTTGGCGTCAAGGAAACCACAGAAAAATTAGACCCTGAAGTGGAGTAATTTAAGGC